TCAGTCAACAGAAACTTAACAGCAGCTCTAAATGTGTCACAATGAAATTTAAGGTCCACTATGCACGAAATTTATGTTTTAGTGCATAGTGAATACCATGGTAATGGGAACTGCATGAGCAAGGGAAGGTCATGTGACCTATGTATGTGACTTACTAAATTCCTACATTAGGGCAACNAGTCCCTGTTATATACGCATATATTCATTAAATCAGATATCATAGTATGTGGTAGAGCTAGGCATTTGCCATTATAGTTAAAAATGAATGGATTTTATACAAATTTCCCCAAGCAGACACTCACATGGCCTGGAAATAACATGAGATTTTACTCTACAATGATCTCAAATACCAATCTTATTGATTTAGGCACCCAGAAATTAGTCTCCTAACGTTATTTCATACAGAGGAGCTATAGCTGTGGCAATGTGCTCATGGAGGACATCTCAGATGAGATTTGCCATGAGAAGTCAAAACTCTCAGCTTCCAATTCTGAGCATTAACAGCATGGCCACCCTTCTCCTAGCTGCTGTGTAAAGTTTCTTATTCAGAATAATAATTCAGTAGCTGCAGTTGGGAAAATACACTGGAATTGTATTCAGTCACTGGAGCAGGTTGGCAATATCAGTGGAACAAAGAATTTTCATAGAATCAGCAGCTGCTGAGAACATGAGATAGTGCCTCAAAAAGTTCCTACATATACACTTCCCCAATTTCTTCCTTTTCTCTCAAAAAATTCCTGGTCTTGTGAACTAGGAAATAACTGGGCAAAGTGCATATGGCTTTTATTGGTGAGGTATGTGTGTGCAATGTTAGACAGTGAAAATCAAACACGTGCTGAAACTGAACTGTGACCTCAATTCACAATGGCATTTAATCCATGTACTCTTCCTCCCCTTTGAAACGAGGTACTTAATTTTCCGAGACTAATATGGGGCACTGAGGTCCAGAAATGTCATACTTTCATAGGTAATAAAATTAGAATACTTGAGAACACTGCAAGCAGTGAACTTTGTCCTTTCTTAGTCAATAGAAAGACGAACATTAGTTTAAATCTTTTGTCGCTTCATCCTTGCAGTCATGACGCATTTCTCTCCCATTTTTACATTTTCTGGGCTGATTCCACTAGACTGTGGAAATCACTCTAGAAATAGCTGACATCTAATTTGGATTCTATTTTTTGTGTGTATGGGTCAGTGGGCCAAGGGATCTTTGAAAAACCTTTTCAATGATGTTATCAGTATTTGAACTTATTGAGCATCTGTCTGATTTGGCCTATATTAACTTAAATCGACAGATTTCTGATAACATGGCTGAGTGCGAATGAGATAGCTAAATGCAAAGAATTCTCTGCTAAGCCACAGGACGTTATTGATGTGCTGAGGGTTTTTTTAAAAAGCCAGTAGAGAATTACGTTTGTGCTGTCCTCATCCAGATTCTGAAATAAAGCTAAAACTAATGACATGCTAATAAAACAGGAGGGGGAAACTGGTGCAGAGTAGTTGCTGTGTCAGCGTGTCAGCTCCTGATGCAATCATAGGAATCCTCCTTGAGTATAGTTAGAAATGACATGTTTAGTGTGAGGCCAGTTCCAGCTGAGGTGAGCAGTGGGGGTGGAAGCGAAATGAACAGCATCTACTTTTGTATAATTTTGAAGAATGTCTTCCTTTCTAAATAGCGTTGTTGCATCCTTTTTCTAGACAGCGAGTGTCTTACAGTATATGTAGGAATAATTTGCTTTTTCTCCTCAGCTGTTTATTACTTTCTGAAACAATTTTTCTTATAGCCAGAAGGGTTCCTTTTAGGCGAGTACTCCAAATAAGTTTGCAGCTCTACATGAAGATATGAGAAAGCATATAGGTCTCACTGTGGAAATAATGTTTGAGTCTGATACCCTTTATTTGGGGTTGTTTGACTTGGTTAAATGACTGTATTTAAAAGAATACACATAAAAACTTCAGTGTGATTTCAGACCTCAGCAACAAAAGAAAATCATACCTCATACATAATGTTAAAGTTAAGCTTTAGTTAAAGGCTGTGTATTGAGCTAGATGTAAAAATTTTGATATGTCTATTTCAGATTAGAAAGATCACCCTCGTCAATCAGATGATAGTTCCTGAGACCACAATGAAAGGAAAATATTCCGGCAATGTTAGCACAATCCAAACAATGCCTTTCAGTTTTTCACTGAAATGGTTTTTCTTTTAGGCAAAAAACCAAAAATAATGTACCTTCCTCCCAACCCTGTAATTTAGAGACATGGAATGCAGCTGAAAGAGGGACATAAAATTTTATATATGAAACAAGGGAAAACTTGAAAATTAATCAGGGAGGTTTTTTTGTCCTGGTTTTCTTTTGGGTTTAGTTTTCCAATTTTATTTAACAACTGAAATTAAAATTTGAGAATCAGTTATGTAATAGAATTTATCCTATCACTGTTTGAAGTGTAATGCATGTGCTGCTATGCACTGCCATCTCCTGAAAGGAACAGTGTAATCTTTATTATATCTTAAAAGGGTTTTTGTGTAGCCAAATTAGATACTCTAATGAATAAAGCCTGAGTTTCTGACAGAAGACAATCTAATTCCTGCTAGGATACTCAGGCAGGACCTATGATTAGAACCTTTTTTTTTTTTGCAATTCACCTATATATTTATTTGTTTTACCTGTGGAGATACTCCTACACTAGAGCATGTGTAACATAGTGTTTGTGTAAGGTATTTTCTTTAAAATGTCAGATACAGTATTGATAATAGAAGTTATTTTGAAATTGGCATCTGAAACATGGAGACATAAATGAAATAAGCAGTGATCAGAGCAAAAGTGGAGAAATTGTACTGAAGTGAGAGTGTGAAGACAGCATGGAGTTTCATCTAATCGAGTTCCTTATACGTTCAGATGGTGTTAGAGATAGGATTTGTTTCAGGCTGAGAAATGGGAGAAAAAAACATAGGTATTTATTAGGAATATCTGTGTGTGAAAGAAACAGAAAGATTCTCAAGAAGGTTCATCTGTTGAGAAACTTAATGCATTCCCCAGTCCAACATCATCTTGGGAGCTGCCATCTACTAGCCAGTGGAAGGGCTATGGGGTAGAAGGGGATTTTTGTGATGACATATGGAAAAGAAAACTAGATACCTGAGACTTTTCTATATCCTCTACTCAATAAATGACCTGAATTATTTTGGGGACAAAGCCATGCTTAAGATGACACTTCCCATCTGTGGAATAAGAAGCTGTTCTCTGCAGTGTTGTCTGGAAAGTCTTTGTTTTGCCATGCTGTTCTGCAACACGGTCGACAGCTGCCCTGTTCATGTGCATGAAATCTGTGCATGTTCATTTCTTTACAGTATAGCATTTGTTACAGAATTACTCTACAGAGATAGACTAATTACTCTAATTATTTTCCATTTTTTTTTCTTAATTTTACCCTTGGTACTTAGTAGCCACATAAATTTGTTCCTTTGAATGTTTGCTGGTCTATGTCACTGTCATCAGTATAGGTGTAACTCCAAAATGTGTGGGTTCGGTTTGAGTTCCATGAGGTTAGAAATGTGTTTTAAGTTATGTATTGGACAAAGTCTCTTGTACCCTTAACTACTACATGGATACACAAATAGCTGTCTTTGTGGAGAAGACAGTTTGCAAGCATCTTGAATACCAAGCGTATTCTCTGCCATGTGCAGCTTTGCTTTATGGAGCTAAATAAAACAAGGGAAATTGAAATGGGGACATGAGAGAAAAATGAATGTTTTCAGCTGAGATTTGCACAGAGATGACAGGTGAATGAGGTGGAGAGGTAAAGAACAGCTGTTCCAGATGGTAGCAGCTTCAGGAGGGAAAATGCTGGAGTCAAAGCGGTCAGATTGTAGGAAGAGATGATGCTCATGGAGGATGAGTGGTGCTGGCAGGGAACTGAGTGTCAGAGGTCAGTGGGAAAAGCACAGTAAACACTGTGTATGAAGTTTATTTATCTTAAAGTAGCCATTTCCTGTAAATGAATCTTTTGTGGTTCTTTTCAGCACTGATTGCAGGTGTTTATCTGAAATCATCAGTGATCAGCATTTTCTGTTATCTTTGTCTGCCTCAACATGTGCACTGCCTTAGTTGAGTTTTGTACTGACAACAGACACTCAAGAATAAATCAGTTTTCAAAAGTCTGTTTTTGAAGCATCCCTTCTGTGTCTTTAATTTACTGCCTGAAAATGAAAGCTTTAGAGGTGCTTGAAAATTTAATAGCCTTGATTTTAAGGTTTTAAACAATCTAGCATTCTTCATGAGACTGTAACAGTGTAATTTGAGCCATCTCTACATAAATAATTCATACAAGAAGCAAATGTAAAATAATAGGCAACTAATGATGCTAAAAGTGACACTATAGTTTAAAGAAAGATTTAAAAAGAGGTAAAATCTCTGGATAAGTCTTGGAGTTCTTTTCAAGACACCTGAAGAATTGGTTGTCTGAGGGTTGGGCACTCTCACTTTCCAGCTCCTCTTGAGTTTAATTGTTCCATGTTTACAATGTTCTGCTTAAATTCTGTGGAGAAATAGGCAGAACAGTCACTTTGTCAGATTTATAAAGGCGGAACTTATTTTAATTAACCATTTAAACTTAACTTACTGACTTTGAGTTGACTCAAAGTTGTTTTACAAATCCGATAGGTATTACACCTGAAATAGTTTACATTGATGCTGACCTGTCTGTTGATCATAGATGTCAATTCTACATCATTTTCCCAGTGCTGCTACCATTTTAGGCTTAGTCTCGCATGATATAAATGTTTCCCTTCAATTTATGTTTTAAAGTATGTCAAAATGAAGAAATTCTGTATATTGTGAAGTAGATTCTGGGCTTCTGTTGAGATAACTGCTCTTCAGGAGTGAGTGAAGGGATGATGTTGTACCGTAAAATATCTTAAGTGCTTATGATTAATCCATTGGGATACTGCAGGTGAAAGGTGCAATGTGATTTTGGTCTTTTTTTTTTTTTTTCCCTCACAGGGGCAATTTTTGATGAATCGGCCAAAAAAGATGAGGAAGTATTTCGAATGGCAGTTGCTGATCTCAACCAGAATGATGAAATCTTACAAACAGAGAAAATCACATGTTCAGTGACGTTTGTGGATGGCAACAATCCTTTTCAGGCGGTTCAAGAAGGTAGGACAACTAAAGAGATTTCCTGTTGTTGTTTCTGCAGTGACTTGCAAAATACTACCCTGATAGCTTCCTAGTTTTGTGAGAATTTGTAATTGTTGTTGGCTTGTTTTTCTATGAAACATAAAATATTGCATTTAATTTTGGATTTAGCTGCTTTGGTCTGTGTAGGTCTAGTGACTTAAAGCTATAAAGTCATTTATCCGTTTAGTAAGTATAGGCTGTTGGAATGTGGGAAAGAAGTCTTTTTGCCTACCTCTTTCCCTTCTTGCAGGCCTCTTAGGAGTTACTGTCAAGCCAATGACTTCTTCCTACTACTTTTTGGTTTGATGTCATGCAGTTAATGGCACTTATTTGGAAAACAAAAGTCGTTGTGTGGATAACCTTTTCAGCCCACACACATGAAAAAGTTACCAATTTTAAGGAGGGATTAGAGATAATCTGATCACTCAGAAAGTTGCCTGTGTCTTTTATGATTTTGTACTCAGTCTGTCCTTTGTCATTCCCCAATTATTGGACAAGGGGTGACAATGTTGCTTTGGGCTCCTGTTATGATAGGATGTAGGATGATAGCAGAACATAATATTTGAAATCCCTCTGAGCTGGATTAGTAAATGGCTGCTGTGACCAAGCAATTGTCTGGAAAGACAGCTGTGAGAAGTCTTTAGAAGTATGGGTTCAAATTTGGTTTGTAAACATTTGTTATTTCTTTGCTGTTCCGACATACTAACTTCTGTCCAAGATGCAAATAGAATACTTAATGTAGGTATATTATTAGACTTTTCTTAACAACAAAACAAAATTTTGATGATTTTCCATATCCTTATTGGCTCTATATTGACACTTGAGATTTAATGGAAATATGCATATAGTTACTCCACTATTTGTGAAATCAGAGTTTGATACCAGTTTGGCTTCAAAGGACTGTTGACAAGACAATGCTAATGAGAAGGGTTATAATGCTTATATGACAGTGTTTTTTACCAATGACTTTCTTAATTTTTGAGAATTCAGTAATTATTTTGTTCTGTTAACTTTACAAGTGGATAGACCTGTCTAATGGGAACAGTTGCAGTCTGTGCTTGATGAGGCTGATGCCAAAAAAAGCGTGATTTTGCAAGTATTCCACTTAGAATCAATTCAATCTCTTTCAGTCTGAAAAGGCTAACATGAAAATTGAAACTATCTGATACTTTTAGAATTCAGAGGGGAAAAGTGAACTAAACTTTTTAAAGATACTTTCTGCACTGTTGCTATTTAAGGTTTGTTGGGTTTTGTGGGTTTTTTTGTTGTTTTTTTTTTTTCAATTCATCCAGGAGAGATAATGGCATCTGATGCCATGTGCTTAGCATTGATTAACACTGAGACTTAGCAATTAATTTCCTTTATCATTGTGGTAGATTAGTTGCAGATTATTCCACAAAATGATGTTTTTAGCATCTTTTTTACTTCTAACTTAAAAAAAGTAGGAGTGTCCAGTAAAGTAGAACATTCCAAAGGAGTTCATAGCCTGATAGTTCAATATTCAATTACTTATTTTATGCAAAAGTTATATTTGTCATTGTTGTAAATATCTTGGTATGGTCAACATTTGAAATGTAAATGGAGCAGGTTTGACATAAATTTCATTACCATCTGTGCGGGGGTGAAAGGTCTGTTATGATATTGAAGAATTCAAGAAATTACTTTCCATTAAAAACTGTTTTTTGTAAATACATGGTCAAATACAGCTACATGCCTAGCAAGCATCATATTCACTATATTTTAAGTGTACTGTGTTTTGTTTGGAAAAATTTGAGTGAAAAACAAAAGTTCTGTCTTTTGCATGTGTGTATCTGTGAAATTTTGCTTTTTGAATTATTTTACCGCAGTTAACCTATTTTCTTTTGATTTAACTGAACAAAGGCATAAGCTGCAGTGTAATGTTACAATTACTTTGCACCAGTTTCCTGCCTTTCTTCTTTGCTCTCTATCTTTATATCACTTGTCTCTTGCTCTCAATTGCATTTCTTACAAGTGTTAGTAGCAGGAAAGGGGACCACTCTAACTTTTGTCACATATTACATTGTTTATACCTGAGACAAACACTTAGCAAAAATGCACTGTACTAAGCTCCAGAGGAAAAGTTTGTTTAAACATTCAAGCCATTTTTGTCTTCTGTTTCTAAAAGAAATACTAGAACAAGGCTAAATCTCATATTTTTAAATGTGTATGACATTCAGTATCCTCCAACTTGCCTTTTTCATGCAAGCATGAGCCCTTCTTTGGAATCATAAAAATGTTGAGTCTGAGGTACTCTCCTATCAAGCAGAGCCTAATGTTCACAAAATTATACTATTTATTTATTATTATATTCTACTATTTGTTTTAATTATTTTATATAAACTACTTGATGTTTTGCTTTTAGTTCACAATAACTGGGAGTTTTTTTAATATTTTGACTTTTTTCATATCGTCTAAACTACAGAAGAGCCTGTGAGAAAACATCTTTTAATGCTTGGTAAAATGCTAATTTAAAGCATTAAACCTATAGCAATAACTTTAAATGGGTCTAAATTTGTTTAAACCTACCTGTTTTAGTCAATAGAGAAGGTTAAGAAATTTGCCTAGGACTGTGAATTTCAAAAAACAAGACATGAGGAAAAACCTCACAAAACAAGACACGGAGGAAATACTTAAAAAGTTATTTTTCATAATGATCCACTAATGGATAGCATGCAGTATTTCTTTTATTTCATTAAATTAGCAAAATTAGCAAGTAACTCCCAAACAATTTAAACATAAACACTCAGACACTTCATAATGATTTTGGGATGTAAAGATAAATAATACAAGAGGATCAGTTGCTGTGTGGTACTGTGTTCTTCCCTCTGAATCTGTTTTTATAAATTATTATGGTACCCTTAAATGTCTTCCATTTGTACCTTAGGGCATCTCATTAACAGTTCTGATTGGAGCGATGATACTATAACAAAGCTGAGTGGTTTTACCCTGAAGACCTGTGAATGACATGCCCCATAATATCACTGAAAGTGCCCTCAGGGGCAATTTATAGGCATGTTTTAGTGCACAGAAATAAGAGGCAAAATTCTTTAAGTTAGGGGAACTGTTCTTCCCTTTGGTACATGTTCTGTCAGAAAGGGCCAACGGTGGGTGTGATGCAAATGTTTTATTGTGTGATTCATGCTTCCATGTCAACATCATGGAGTAGCGTGGGAACCCATGGAGGGAAGTCCAGGATAAGCCCAGTTGGTAGGTCAGAGTGAAGACCAGTGAAGTGTATTGCCAGATGTGCAGAGCTCCAGCCTGACACACACGGGGGAGCGTTTGCAGAAGAAGAGAGTGGCTGAGAAGTGTGGCTGAAGCATGTAGGTGGTGGAACCTCGTGGAAGCTGCAGCCCAGCTCTGAGATGTCACAGTAACACACACCTGTGGAAATGTCCAACACGGCATGTTCCTCCCTCTCTACCTTTCTTTCTTCAGTACAAAACACTTCATAATGTTCAAAGTACTCTTCTATAAATGTCTCAAAATATTTGTGTGCTTGCTGATAGAGGAAGAATATCGTGGCTGGCCTTTTTATGCTGTGCCCGTGTTGGGTACCACAAAGGGAAAGCAGGAATTTAAGTTTTCTCTGTATAGTCATTGAAGGAAGTAGAGATAGTCAGGTTTTGCATGATAGCAAGTCAGTAATTTGGCACTATGAAACAAGGAATTATGGTGCCAGATCCATACTATTGGCAATAATACATATTAGTATAAACTTCTTTTCCTGTGAGATTTCAATTTACAGCAGTATTTAAATAGGAGTAGGATTGACCTTCCAAAGGTTTTGAGTTCTAAATATACTTAAACTGAAATTATTTTTTATAAGAGTCTTGTTTCTATATTTTTTTCTAATGGACTTTCACTGGGAAATTTGATTGAAATAAATATAACACTTTTTTTCTTTTTGTCAGAAAATCATCCTGTTCTCTCATCTTCCTCTTGCTTTTATTATTCTTGTGCTTACTTCAATACACTAATAATTAAAGCTTAAGTTTTATGGTTCAAAGCCTGCCATTTCCTCCAATTCTTAATTTATCATTAATAACATGATCACACATTTGCTGAATGACTAGTATAAAATATGCAATAGCCTGTGCATTTTTGTGGCAAGGGGAGGGAAGGGGCAGCTTTGGTAACTTGAACCAGAGGTAATAATTTGGTTTGTGTGAATCTGCCTCCTTGGGCAGCACAGTTTCTACAGCCCTCATGTTGCTATTTCCACTTTCACACCAGGAGTTAGAGATCAAACTCTGCAGGAGTTTACAGTGCTCGGGGCATCCACAGCATCTGGAGGGTAGTCAGAGCTCGGCAGGACCCATGTCCAAAGATGTATATTGTTCTTGGAGATCCATTGGCGATATTTTAAACCTCATGGCAAACACTTTCTTTTCATTTAGTGCTGATATTTTTTTTTATCTTACTCTTTTCTCCTACCTCCTTTTTTTTTTTTTTTGACAATATGACATTTTTACTGATCTTGAATTTTTACTCCATAGTAATGCAATGTTTTCTTCTATAACCTACCTATAATACATGACAAATAGGTTTGACTGATGCTTTTTGAAATCGACTTTTTTGACACATTTTCCTATTGCAATCACATATATGTGAAGCTAATTTTTCCTTCTTTTTTTTTTTTTAACCAACCTTTTTGTCATTCAGGTTAGTCACCAGAGTATGCTTACAGACACCAACTTGAGCCTTCGTAATGGCTTTTGAAAGCTTATTGTGATCAGTGAAGTAAATAAGGCAGTGAGTCATAACTAAATGGGATTCAGCTGTAGAGTAGCAGAGGTTTGTAGGGCAGCAATATGTATGAAGGTCACATGCAGGATTTTATTCAAGCAAAGTTTTATGGTCAGAAATTACGACCTGATGGATACATCTGCCTTGGCCTTTGGGACTAGAGGAATGTAATAAGATTGTCCTTTCCCATTTCTCTGATCACTGTAGAA